CAGCACTTTCTCCTTTCATTCTTTCTTCCTTTTATACTAACTCCGATTTCTACCTGCGATCATTAGGACACAAAGCCACAGAAGATATATGGCATCGGCGGTTAGGACACCCATCACAAAGGATTCTTAATCATTCAATCCGAGCAGCAGTTCTTGATAAAAATAGTTTACTTTTACCTGATGGCACGGAGATGAAGCCGCAGTCTCGTCCGACGGTTTGCACCACTTGTCCAGCTGCCAACCTTACGCACGATCCTTTTCCTAGTCATTTTCCCGGCTCAACTCGTTATAAACTGATGCAAAAAGTCTACAGCGACATCCTCAACTTGTCTGAAGTAGGACCTAAAGACGAGAAGTATGTGATAACCTTCATCGAAGCGTCTACACGCTATGTCTGGACAGCAAACTTACCTGCGCGCCATCTCGCTCACTCCGTCTTCATCGCATGGCTCGCTGTCGCTGAACGAGAGTCCAACGTGAAACTGCAAGAATTTCAGAGTGATGGTGCAGGGGAGTACACCAGTAACAACTTCACAGAGTACCTTCAGACACTCGGCATCAAACGGAAGCAGTCACTGCCTCATGCACACCAACAGATGGGGGTAGCAGAACGGATGAACATAACTCTGCAGGAGAAGATGCTTGCTCTGCTGACACAGGCAGCCCTTCCACCGCTTTTTTGGCTGTATTCGATGGACCACGCTGTGCTGTTACACAATCTTCTTTCCTCAACGTCCCTGCCCGAGTTCTCTTCTCCACACCTGCAGTGGACACGTACAGTGGGGAGCACAAAACTTTTACGAGTTTTCGGGTGTGTTGTACAGTTTCGTCCTCCAACTGCAGCACTCGGAAAAATTTCCGAACGAGCAAAATGGGGGGTACATCTCAGCATCGAAAAACAGTATCACGCGTGGAAGATTTTGGATCTCCGCTCCAATCAAGTCGTTCCATCACGTGATTGTCTTTTCTATGAAAGACTCACCTTGCCCGTTTTCCGTGCCCACCAAGCAGCAGCTGCCAATCCTGCCACGCTGTTCGAAGGCTCGTGTGCATTTGCAACTGACGAAGCCGAAGCTGATGTACAGGACGAGGATGTTTCTGAAGATTCCGAAGCTGCCGCAACAGACATTCCCGAACCTGTCAACTCGACCGGCATACCTGAATTCATTCCTCTTGCAGATGCTGACCAGGATGATGTTCGCGAAGTTCGCCTCAGTTACGAACGCGATTGCCAACAGCAGCCGATGCCCGTCGTCTCCGACGAAGCAGTTCGTGTTACACCTGACGAAATTGGGGGGAAAGAAGGACCAGAAGAAAATTTCGGAGGTGCAAACGAAGAACGTCCACGTTTTACAGAAACAGGATTACAGATACTGGGGTTCGTAGTCGCAGTACAGTACAACGACAGTAAAATACCTGAACCGAAAACCGTTCGACAAGCTCTCACGAGTCCTCACCGAGAAAAATGGCATGAAGCCATGGACAAGGAGCTAGCAGCACTCAAGAGTCGCGGCACATGGGATTAAATACCGACCTCAGAAGTAAAAGGGAAGAAGGTACTTACAGGAAAATGGGTCTTCCGCGTCAAGACTAATGCAGATGGGTCGTTTGAGAAATTCAAGACGCGATGGGTCGTCCGCGGGTTCGAGCAAACTTACGGCATCGACTATGAATTAACTTTTGCTCCTGTCGGCCGACATACAAGCGTTCGGATTCTACTTTGTGTCGCCGCTTGCCGTAATCTCCGACTTCGACAAATCGACGTCTCGAATGCGTTTCTCTACGCGCCTTTCGACGCACTTATCCTGATAGAGTACCCGCATTCCTATACTACTAACCCACCGAGCATTTGCCGTCTCCAAAAATCCCTATACGGCATTAAACAGGCACCACGGCTCTGGCAGCAGTATCTCCACTCACAACTTATCACTGCCGGTTTTCGTCAACTGCCGCATGACCAAGGAATGTATCTACTGACCGACGGCAACAACTATATTTTACTCGTCGCCTACGTCGATGACATCCTATTCGTCAGTACTACCGATTCCCTTGCCGAGACCTTCATACTGAAATTACAGAAAACTCTACAGATTACCGTCTCCAAAACAGTCTCACAGTTTCTTGGTCTGAACATTACCTGTTCATCGACAACTATTCATCTCACCGCTTCTAAGTATGCAGCAACACTCGCTGCCCGCTTTAACCTAACACCTACTGCAGTCTCTACACCATACCGCTCACTACCGACTGACCACAAACCGAACACCGCACTGTTAACTTCAACCGGTTTACAGATCTATCAACAGCAGCTAGGCTGTCTACTCTTTGCCACTGTCATTTGTCGTCCTGATCTAGCCTACGCGGCCAGTCAGCTCGCTCAGTTCCTACGCCGTCCTGAAGAGGAGCATCATCTTGAACTTCTCCGCGCGCTTCAATATTTTATCTCGACACCTGACGTCGGTTTAGTCTACAATGTCATCAGTTGTAAAACACTCTACCTACATGGTTTTGTCGACGCCGATCACGCTGCTGATTCAACTAATCGACGGTCGCGCACTGGATTCTTCTATCGGCTTGAACCTATTGGGCCTATCTCTTGGAATTCGACGAAGCAGGAGTTGATTGCTCTCTCCTCTGCTGAAGCTGAGTTTATTGCTGTCTGCACAGCAACACGCAAAGGACTTTACTTACAGGAACTATTGGAAGAAGCAAAGTTGACGACAACTACCCAGTTTACCCTACAGTGCGACAATCAAAGTGCAATTCGCATCGCACATCAACCTGGTTTCGTCAACAGGACGAAGCATATTTCGCTTCGTTATTTTTTCGTCAAAGATGAAGTCGAGAAGGGGAGGATGCGATTGGTCTACTGTTCGACCAACGAAATGGCTGCCGATTTTCTCACGAAGAAGCTGACACGACAGAAGTTTCAGTACTGTAACAAGCTCTGCGGAATCTTCAAGAAGTGACATTATCGAACTTCCACAAATGAAGGGGAGTGTTGTGATATAATTGATACTTAGCATTTCTGTAAGTCGATTAAGTGTAGTTAGTGTCGAATCATACTGTAGAAGATAAGTCCGTAGGATGACGTCAGCAAATAGCGCTCGTCATAGGACAGTCGTTTCAGTCACGCGAACAGTCGCACCTCTTCGTTATCATCTAGGGCGCATAGCGCGATAGTGACGAACAGGTACATTAGCGAATAGGTACTTTTCGTAGAACTATAAATACTTGTTAGGTCTTTTCATTATTAACTTTGATTACCCACAAGTTCACATACTCAGGATTATTCAACCTTGACCTTTACATTTTACAAGACTTCCGCTGTCTTACTAGTCTACCATTCCAGCAAAGATCCTGGACCAACACTTGAGTATTTGCCAAGTGTTCGTGTTTATAGTTTTATACTTAGTCTACTACAACACTAGACGTTTTATTTCAACACTAGTGTTCGTGTTCGCGTTTTGCAGCTGAGCGAACCTTGTTAATGAAGGCAAGAAAAACGAGCATGGTGTTATGTACAATGCAAACTAAAAAAAGTGGGTACCGTAAAAGCCCGGATAGAAGACCCCCTAGTAATAGAAGACCCAGGGTCTTATACGAGGCGTCTATCTTGTATTTGGGCTTCCCGTTTATAAGACACCCCCTGGGCAGTATGAGACCCCCTCTCCCCTCTCCCTGTTTCTTCTTCTTGTTTACCATATTCCCCCGGATAAGCGCCCTTATGGGCGTTTAGGGGACTGGTTTGAAATTGTGTGTTGCGGGGGGGGGGGGTTGGGTATTCAAATAATTTATATTCTCCCATCCCATGGACGTTTATAACGTTTTTTATGCCAATACGGTGTGTTTTATCATACTGTAGTGTAGTTTCTATGTTGTTTCGTGTATGGGGAGAAATTTTGACGAAGAATTATCGCGCCGAAAGTCCAGTTAGCGATGTGCTAGGCTGGATGTTTGTGTTTCTGACGCGACTCGTGACAGGTTTTTCTGGCTCATGACAAGTGTTTCTGACAGGTGTCCCTCGAATCTCTCCATGGTATTGAAATCACAGCTTGATAGACGGCTGGGATGGTCGCACTCCACACCCTCGTTCCTCCCTTGCTGCTTCACTAGTGTGTCTGCCGTCATTATTGCCGCCAAAAAAATTGCCCCCTTTGTGACGCCTTCCCTATGAAAACGCTTGCCAGAAGTCTGGTGTAACTAATCATGGTGTTCTCCTGTGCAGTTACGATGGTTCCGTTTATAAGACCCACTTCCACCTATTTTTTCCCCATTTATAAGACCCTTTTGACTATTTCCAAACGGTATGTGATAAGACCCATGAGTCTTCTATCCGGGCTAATACGGTACTCTAAAAAACGTACCATTTTATAAGCTATCCCCCTCATATGCCACCCATGGAGTGACTATTTCGACGGGTGTTATATACGGGGGATTACGGTAGTTTCTATCTTTATTAGCAACAGAATGGATAACCGACAGGGCTGACGTTTCAAAAAAAGGCACTCTGAGCCAACCCCCCCCAAAAAAAAAGTAGTCTGAAGGGCCTTCAGCCGAAATTTTTGTAGTCTGAAATGTCAGGGTCCAGAACTCAGCGAGTCTGATTTTTTCAGGGTCCAGGACGTACAACCAGAGTCACACACGGGAAACACCCCCACAGCGAGAAACTTCCCTCCCTCCTACACCTCCCAAAAATTCGGCTAAGTCCCTTGCAGCCATAAAAAATCCTCCCACAGCCCGCGCCCCCCCCAAACCAGCAACCTTGTCATACCCTCGTTTTGCGTAGTTGTTAAATGTGGGAAACGGGGAATCATTCCTAAAAACCGAGGGGGTAAAATCGCACTGCCACGGAAATCGAAACTGAGGAGAGGGGGAATCGAAACTGACAGGGAAATGGGGAGGGAATCAAAATGGAGGGGAGGGGGGAAGCGAAACGAAGGGGAGGGGGGGGAAAGGGGGGGGCGGTCGAAACGGAGAGGATGGGGAAAGCGAAACGGAGAGGAAGGGGGAAGTGATTGAAACAGAGGGGAGGGGGGGGGAATCGAAACGACAGGGAGGGGGGAAGCTGGGGAATAGGACGGTGGGAGAAATTTCGCGCCCTTGCAGCGCCCCGGTGGGGAAATCTTGGATGTTAATCACAACATAACATCGAACGATTGATATATGTCGAAACGATCGCAAACGATCGTGACCGTTACATTTTGGTAGACTTTCAGTTGACCAAACGGGCAACTGGCGAGAATTTCCCTATGTTAAAAATGCGGAATTTACTCTCATTCCAATGCAGTTTAAAAAAAAGTGTGAAAGTCTCATTCAAAACTTCTGGGTTGTTCCAGGTGTTAGGGAGGACTGTATCTGACAACATGACTTAGTCTAAATTTAGGGTGGGTTGTGGGGTGTGTGGGGGATGTCTCTAGTGTTCCGGGACTTGGCCGAAATTTTAGATGGGTTGTGGGGTGTGGGGTGGGGGTTGTCTCTAGGGTTCGGGGACTTGGCCAAAAAAATTTAGGGGTTGTGGGGTGTGTGGGGCATGTCTCTAGCGATTGGGGACTTCACCAAATTTTCCGAAGGTTGGTACTATACAGGTAATGAGTCAGGGTCTGTACGCGCTGTGCTCTGAAAACTCAGTACTGGGTTAGCGACAACTCTGATTTTCTCAGGATCCCTAGAACCGTACTCTGAAGGGATCAGGATTGGGAAAATGTCTTATCTGGAAATTCAGGTTTGGCCAAAAAACAGGTCTGAGATTTCAGACTAATCAGAGTAATTAGTCTGATAAAGTCAGCCCTGATAACCGAATGCAACGGAATGCCAAGAGCTTCCCCGAAATGTTGCAGCTAGCAAATGAAATCCAGTTTCCCCGGGTCAAAATCTCCTCTACAACCCTACCCAGGACCTTTTTCCAAGGCATCTTAAGATATGTTGATGGTACTGGCTATTCCTCCCCATCACCATCCAATCCAAAACCCTCTGCAACCCTAATTACCACCCTCCCATAGTCTCACCTAGAGGTGTCTCAACCATCCTAGTGCCTACCCAGAGCCGTTTTCTGAGGCGTCTCAAGATACGGTACTGCTGATTGACACTGACTGACTCACTGGTTATTCTTCATCGGCACCATCCAAGTTCGTCCAACCCATCACCACGTCGTTCCCACCCAACCCAACCCAGGCTCCCGCAGCTTTCGTTCATCTCCAAGCCTTCCCAATTCCCTTCCCTACATTCAGGGTGAATTGTGAAAAATTCTTGCGTAACCGTCACTCTGAACCATACTAGGTTGCTGGAACCATTCTGAGTCACCTGTAACCACTCCAAATCACTCTGAATCGCTCTCAACTACCCCCCGCCTGCGGCCTCTCACCCCCCCTCCCCCTCCTCTCTCCTCATCGCTATCAAACCTTGCTCCTCCTTGCCTTCCTCCTCTCCCTCCCTCGTCCCCCCTTCCCTTCCTCTCACTCTCACTCTCACTATTGCCTCCACCGCCACCACCATCACCACCACCACCACCGCTACTGCCACTATCCGCTGTGCGCCCCTTCTGCCTCTGCTGATGCCCCCGATCAACCCTCCCCTCCTCCTCCTCCTCCTCCTCCTCCTCCTCCTCCTCCTCCTCCTCCTCCTCCTCCTCCCTGTCGCTGCCACCATGCCTGTTGCCGGCCCCTCTTCGCTGCTCCCTCTCATGCCGATCCCCCTCCTCGTCACTTCCATCCGTCCTCCTGCCCTCACCCCTCTCATCTCTCCCCCCTCTCTCCTCTCTTTCCTCACTCCCATACCTCCGCCTCTTCTCCCTTCTCTCGTCATCGTCGTCCTCCTCCTCCTCGTCTCTACCCCGCCTCGCTCCCCTCCCTCTCCTTCCATCATCCTCTTCCTCCTCCTCCTCTTCCATGTCCCTTCTCTTTCCCTCCTCCCTTTCATCCTCCTCGGCATCTTCCCCTGATCGTTTGTGCACTGTGATCTGGTGGGGGTGCACCATAAATGGGTGGTGTGCGCAACAAACGGGTGGGGAGCGCAACAAACGGGTGGGGTGCGCAACAGATTGTGCACAGAATACCACTGGGATGAGCCATGCAATACCAACGCCTCCTGCTCTGCCCGTACAGCCCCCGCCTTTCTCTGGGAGAGCAGATAGTGCACAGGCGGCACAGTCCAATGAGCCATGCAATATCAACGTTTTCTCCACAGCCCGTCCCAGCCCCGCATCTCCTCTCCCTCATCCTCCTCAGCAGCAACCCCTCATCATTTCCACGCTGTGGTCTGGTGCACCAGGAGAGCAGATGGTGCACAGGCGGCACAGTCACAGTTACGTCTGAGGATATCATATGTCACAGTCCAGTGAGTTGCACAATGTCAATGTTTTCTCCACTGCCCGTCTCAGTCCCCCCCCCCCCCTCTCCTCTCCCTCATCCTTCTCCGCATCAACCCCTCATCGTTTCCACACGGTGCTCCTGGTGGGGCGACCAACCAATAGCAGACAGGCGGCAAAAAAGAGTACCTTGGGCAGCAAACACAGTACCTTGGGCAGCAAACACAGTACCTTGGGCGGCAAACACAGTACCTTGGAGGGCACTGGCAGTTCTACTCTCTCTCCCTCCTCGCCCTTCGCCTTGCCTCCCTCCTTGGCCTTCCGCTTTGCCACGGATAGCTTAGTGTGGATGGGCTGGGGAGAGTGGAAGTTGGGGGGGGGGGGGGGGGGGGGGGGGGGGGATCAATGAGGGAGGAACATAAGAGAGAGTGGAATTAGAGGGAATTGAGAAATGAGAGAGTGGTAGACTATGTCCTTAGCCTTCCGCTTCGCCACGGATAGCTTCATGTGGATGGGCTGGGGGGGAGTGGAAGTTGGGCGGGGGGGGGGGTTGCTTGCCGAGGTTGACTCACAAATTAAAAGGTTAACTCACAAAAACAAAACAAAAAAGGTTGACTTACACAACAACAGGCTGACTCACAAAACAACAGGCTGACTCACAAAACAACAGGCTAACTCACAAAACAACAGGCTGACTCACAAAACAACAGGCTGACTCACAAAACAACAGGCTGACTCACAAAACAACAGGCTGACTCACCAAAACAACAGGCTGACTCACAAAACAACAGGCTGACTCACCAAAACAACAGGCTGACTCACAAAACAACAGGCTGACTCACAAAACAACAGGCTGACTCACAAAACAACAGGCTGACTCACAAAACAACAGGCTGACTCACAAAACAACAGGCTGACTCACCAAAACAACAGGCTGACTCACCAAAACAACAGGCTGACTCACAAAACAACAGGCTGACTCACAAAACAACAGGCTGACTCACAAAACAACAGGCTGACTCACAAAACAACAGGCTGACTCACAAAACAACAGGCTGACTCACCAAAACAACAGGCTGACTCACCAAAACAACAGGCTGACTCACCAAAACAACAGGCTGACTCACCAAAACAACAGGCTGACTCACAAAACAACAGGCTGACTCACCAAAACAACAGGCTGACTCACAAAACAACAGGCTGACTCACAAAACAACAGGCTGACTCACAAAACAACAGGCTGACTCACAAAACAACAGGCTGACTCACAAAACAACAGGCTGACTCACCAAAACAACAGGCTGACTCACCAAAACAACAGGCTGACTCACCAAAACAACAGGCTGACTCACCAAAACAACAGGCTGACTCACCAAAACAACAGGCTGACTCACCAAGTAAATGCCTGATCTAGTGGAAGACTGACCAGGTAAGAGACGACTTTTGAGTCGACTCAAGCCTGACAACACAGAAGTCAACGAAAGGCTGACTAATCAAGTAAAGGCTTGCTCTCTTGATCTAGTGGAAGCCTCTTGTTTTGTGCGTGAGAGACGATGATCTAGTGGAAGGCTCACCAAGTAAAGGCTTGCTTTAGTGGACTGTGGAAGACTGACCAGGTAAGAGACGCTGTCCTTGTTGAAGCAGAAGAGGAAGGTTCCTCGTCCTTGCTCTCCCTTGGCCACCTGGAGGAAAGCAAGCGAGAAACAGGCCGAGTGCAAGAGTGGGCTGACTTTGGAGTGTGTACGAGAAATATAATGAGACGCCAACACGCAGGCTCATCAGAACAATGCGGTTCGGCTGGGGGGAGGGGGGGGGGAGAGGGGGAGGAGAGGGGGAGGAGAGGGGGAGGAGAGGGGGAGGAGAGGGGGAGGAGAGGGGGAGGAGAGGGGGAGGAGAGGGGGGGATTCGAATTCGGGTTGAGGGTTCGGAAAGTAAGGGAATCACTTTGAGAATCCTCCAAGACTCAAATCCAGGAAGAAATCACCTCTGGAAATAGGTGAGCAAGGGCACACATGGGATCTGGGCATTTCTTATCAACGCCATCAAACAACCAGCCGTGAGGAGTCGAGTTTTGAGGCGCCTCAAAAATAGACTCCTCCTAGCTGAGCAAGGGCGCACATAGGATCTGGGCATTTAGTTTCGAGGCGCCTCAAAACTAGCCATCTGTGGAAATAGGTGAGCAAGGGCACACATGGGATCTGGGCATTTCTTATCAACGCCATCAAACAACCAGCCGTACCTTCCAGTGGTATTCTCGCACCCAGTCGTAGCGCGCACTATCCCCCTCCCTCAGCCCCTTCCCTAGCTGCAATCAGAGCACGTGCGGGGGGGGAGGGGGCACGTGGGGAGGGGGCATGTGGGGAGGGGGCATGTGGGGAGGGGGCATGTGGGGAGGGGGCACGTGGGGAGGGGGCATGTGGGGAGGGGGCATGTGGGGAGGGGGCACGTGGGGAGGGGGCACGTGGGGAGGGGGCATGTGGGGAGGGGGCACGTGGGGAGTGACAGAGAGGGGAGGGGGATGGGAGTAGTGAAGGGAAGGGATGTAGCGCGCACTACACCCCTCCCTCAGCCTCTTCCCTGGTTGCAGTTAGCGCAGAGAAACAGGGGAAGGGGTAGGGGGGGTGAGAAGGGGGAGGGAGGAAGGCAAAGGACAGGGAGCGCGGGGGCCTAAAGAAGGGGCATGAACGCCGTTTTACTACCCTACCTTGCGAAGCAGAAACAGAGACATGGCGACATGGGCAAGGGGTGAGGCGGGGAAGCAGTGGGTGAGAGGGAGGGATAGGTGGGAGAGAAACGGGTGAGGCTAGGAGGGGAATGCGTGTATTAATTTAAACTAAAATACACAGAAACGCATAATTGAAATTAACATATAAGTGTAATCGGCACTAATGCCGGACCAGTCTCCATTCCATTCTACTAATGCTCCCCGCTCACTCACCTCTCGCTTGTTGGGAACCACGCATGTAGGCAACGAAGTTATCAAGCTATGGCGTTACAGCTGTCTCCTACGCAGAGGATAAGCCTCCTCACCTCTCGCTTGTTGGGAACCACGCATGTAGGCGACCAAGTTATCAAGCTATGGCGTTACAGCTGTCTCCTACGCAGAGGATAAGCCTCCTCACCTCTCGCTTGTTGGGAACCACGCATGTAGGCGACCAAGTTATCAAGCTATGGCGTTACAGCTGTCTCCTACGCAGAGGATAAGCCTCCTCACCTCTCGCTTGTTGGGAACCACGCATGTAGGCGACCAAGTTATCAAGCTATGGCGTTACAGCTGTCTCCTACGCAGAGGATAAGCCTCCTCACCTCTCGCTTGTTGGGAACCACGCATGTAGGCGACCAAGTTATCAAGCTATGGCGTTACAGCTGTCTCCTACGCAGAGGATAAGCCTCCTCACCTCTCGCTTGTTGGGAACCACGCATGTAGGCGACCAAGTTATCAAGCTATGGCGTTACAGCTGTCTCCTACGCAGAGGATAAGCCTCCTCACCTCTCGCTTGTTGGGAACCACGCATGTAGGCGACCAAGTTATCAAGCTATGGCGTTACAGCTGTCTCCTACGCAGAGGATAAGCCTCCTCACCTCTCGCTTGTTGGGAACCACGCATGTAGGCGACCAAGTTATCAAGCTATGGCGTTACAGCTGTCTCCTACGCAGAGGATAAGCCTCCTCACCTCTCGCTTGTTGGGAACCACGCATGTAGGCGACCAAGTTATCAAGCTATGGCGTTACAGCTGTCTCCTACGCAGAGGATAAGCCTCCTCACCTCTCGCTTGTTGGGAACCACGCATGTAGGCGACCAAGTTATCAAGCTATGGCGTTACAGCTGTCTCCTACGCAGAGGATAAGCCTCCTCACCTCTCGCTTGTTGGGAACCACGCATGTAGGCGACCAAGTTATCAAGCTATGGCGTTACAGCTGTCTCCTACGCAGAGGATAAGCCTCCTCACCTCTCGCTTGTTGGGAACCACGCATGTAGGCGACCAAGTTATCAAGCTATGGCGTTACAGCTGTCTCCTACGCAGAGGATAAGCCTCCTCACCTCTCGCTTGTTGGGAACCACGCATGTAGGCGACCAAGTTATCAAGCTATGGCGTTACAGCTGTCTCCTACGCAGAGGATAAGCCTCCTCACCTCTCGCTTGTTGGGAACCACGCATGTAGGCGACCAAGTTATCAAGCTATGGCGTTACAGCTGTCTCCTACGCAGAGGATAAGCCTCCTCACCTCTCGCTTGTTGGGAACCACGCATGTAGGCGACCAAGTTATCAAGCTATGGCGTTACAGCTGTCTCCTACGCAGAGGATAAGCCTCCTCACCTCTCGCTTGTTGGGAACCACGCATGTAGGCGACCAAGTTATGAAGCTGCCCAAACCCTCAGCGAAGTTACGAAGCCATGGCGTTACAGCTGGCTGTCTCCTATGCAGAGGATAAGCCTCCTCACCTCTCGCTTGTTGGGAACCACGCATGTAGGCGACCAAGTTATGAAGCTGCCCAAACCCTCAGCGAAGTTACGAAGCCATGGCGTTACAGCTGGCTGTCTCCTATGCAGAGGATAAGCCTCCTCACCTCTCGCTTGTTGGGAACCACGCATGTAGGCGACCAAGTTATGAAGCTGCCCAAACCCTCAGCGAAGTTACGAAGCCATGGCGTTACAGCTGGCTGTCTCCTATGCAGAGGATAAGCCTCACCTCTCGCTTGTTGGGAACCATGTAGGCGACAAATGACTGCGGCTCTCCCCCCCCTGGTGCTGCCACCTTGAAATTCTTCATGATAGCCTGGAGCGGGGTAGATCGAGGGGGGGGGGGGGGGGAGTGGAAAGGGGGGGAGCCAGGGGGGAGGTAAAGGAGAAAGAAACACAAAGGACGGCTCTCTGCCCCCCCCCCCCTGGCGCTGCCACCTTGAAATTCCTCATGATAGCCTGGATCGGGGTAGATTGAGGGGGGGGGGGTAAAGGAGAAAGAGACACAAAGGACTGCGGCTCTCTGCCCCCCCCCCCCCCTCCTGGTGCTGCCACCTTGAAACTCCTCATGATAGCCTGGAGCGGGGTAGAGGGCAGGGGGGAGGTTAAGGAGAAAGAAACACAAAGGATGGCCGCCACACGATCACCTGACGGCTTGATCAATGACTGCCCCCCCCCCTGGTGCTACCACCTTGAAACTCCTCATGATAGCCTGGAGCGGGGTAGATTAGGGGGGGGGAGGAGGGGGGGAAGGAGGGGGGGAGCAAGGGAAGAAGCAACGCAAAGGAGGACTGTGGCACAAACCCTGGACAAAGGGAGAACCGCCAAGAGCAGCGAGGGGAGAAGACGCACCAGATGCACCATAAACTGGTTCAGGGTTTCGGGTTTGGGTCGAACACCAGATGCACAAACTGGCGGTCGGAGAGCGAGAAGGAGGGCAGCACGAGGAGAACCTCCACTGCCTCCCACCTCCACTGCTTGAAGGCTCGGGTTGACCCAATAATGCAAGATCCCAGGCCATACTCACCCGTGCTTCCATCTCCTTCTTCTGCTCCTCCTTCAAGTGCATGTGTGCGGGCGAGTCAGCAAGCGGCGTGTCGTCGAACACCAGATGCACAAACTGGCGGTCGGAGAGAGAGAAGAAGGGCAGCACGGGGAGAATCTCCACTGCCTCCAGGGCTGGGTTGGACGGGTGCACGGGTGGCTTTCGGGCAGCTTGGAAAGATTCCTCGATGTACCGGATCTGCCCTTCCCTGTGAAAAGGTGGAAAAATGGGCAGGTCGGAAGAAGTGCACGCAGGGAAGGTCAGAGTTAGCGGAGAGGTCAGGTAGGGGCAAATAACAGCATATATTGTACTGTACATACCGTGCGCATTGTACCACTGACAAATTGCATAAGTTGTATTGTACACTGACCTCTTACTGTACATAATTAGTTCCACGCTGTATTTATGCTGTATTGTATGCTCACTGTGCACTGCACATATTTAGTATTACACTGTGCATATGTTGTATCGTACACTCACCTCGTACTGTATATCTGCTCGTCTGCCAGCTCCAGCTGCAGAGCCAGCAGCTTCGCCTCCTTCTCATTAAGCACCCTCTGTATAAGAATAGTCCGAACAGTCAGAACAGCGAGGAGGGGGTGAAGGACGACACAAGGAGGATGAGAAAAAATAAATGCAATGCTTGAAATGGGTGACGGACGGACGGGTGCCTTTGAGTCGACTTTTGAGGCGCCTCAAGACGAGGATGAGAGAAAGAAAATGCAATGCTTGAAATGGGTGACGGGTGTCTTTGAGGCGCCTCAAAACAGCGAGGAGGGGGTGAAGGGCACATGAAGGATGAGAGAAAAATCAATGGAGGAAATGGGTGGTGGTGATGGGTGGTGGGTGGTGATGGGTGGTGGGTGGTGATGGGTGGTGGTGGTGATGGGTGGTGGTGGTGATGGGTGGTGGTGGTGGGTGGTGGTGGTGATGGGTGGTGGTGGTGGGTGGTGGTGGGTGGTGGTGGTGGGTGGTGGAAACACACAAGGGGGGTGGTGGTGATGGGTGGTGATGATGGGTGGTGGAGGTGATGGGTGGTGGTGATGGGTGGTGGAAATACACAAGTGGCACATAGGCTGCGTGGCAAATACACCGGCGCTAGCGCATGCAACAATGCGGGCCAGCATTCAGCGTGCATGCATGGATATGTGTCTTCGTACGTGTCCCTCAGCCAACTCTGTGTTATGAGTCTAGTTTCGAGTCGAATAAAAAACAGGCCAGCATTCAGTGTGCATGCAACAAGGGCATGTACCTTCCTACATGTCCCTCAGCCAACCAACTCACCTTCTTAGGGGCAGAGCCAGCACCAGCAGCAGAGATGTACTGTGTGTGCACAAGCCAGTTCAACCCCGCATCTGTGGGCCTGTCTTTGATTCGGAAGGGCCCCGATCCGCCCGCTCCCCCTGCGGCCCCCACGCCCTCCCTCTGCTTCACACTCGCATCGTCGTCTCTCAAGAGGTCCGCGTCCGCTGGGTGCAGCGCTGGGCGCTGGGCGGGGGGAGGGGGGCTGGGGGGTAGGTAGAGGAACATGGATGGAAGAGGGGATGGGAGGAGGGGAGGCAGTTTGGTTGGATGTGACGCCTGCTCCTAAAGTGGGTTGTGAGTGGACTCAAATCTGTCACCGCACCCCCTGCGGCCCCAACGCCCTCCCTCTGCTGGGTGCAGAACTCAGCCTCCTTGCTCCCCCTGCACTGCTTCGCCCTCGCATCGTCGTCTCTCAGGAGGTCCCTGTCCGCTGGGAGCGGGGCTGGGCGCTGGGCGGGCAGAGGGGCGCTGGGGGAAAGGGGAAACGTGTGGAGTGTGGGGGGGGGGGGGGGGGAGGAGAGTGGGGTTGGTCCAAGGTTGATACGCAGCACGACGAGTACCGGTGCATGCATACGTGTGATTACACACAATCACCCAATCTGAAATAAGCGCCATGGAGGTGTGAGTGACTGTCCAGTAGGCGGATTGGTCAAGTAGGTCCAGCGGAATCCCTGGGTCTGGTTCCACGCGCGGCCAGTGCCGGTGCTCCGCTTCCGCCAAGATCGCTGCGTGATCGACAAGTGGTACGACGAGTACCGGTGCGTGAAAGCATGTGATTCCACACACGCGAGATTGCAGCCGAGCCGATGCTGCTAGGCTTACCAGTACGCAGACAAGTCAAGCAGGTCAAGGGGAATGCCCAAATCCGGCTCCACGTGCAGCCGGTGCCGGTGCTCCGCCTCCAAGGTTGACACGTGGTACGACGAGTACCGGTGTGGGTCGCCCCCGAGAGGTATAAGCTTCGGCTGCGACGCTGGCTCTGGCAGCGCGTTGGTGAACCTGGGGAAGTGAGGTTGGAGATGGGGGAGAGGGAGGGGAGAAGGGGTAGCGAGGGAAGAAGAGATAGTTGGCACGTGGTAGGGCGAGTAGTACCGATGAGGATCCCCCCCCGAGAGGTAAGACCTTGGGCTATGACGCTGGCTTTGGCAGCGCGTTGGTGAACGTGAGGAAGGGGGAGAGGGGGGAGAGTAGGGAGAGAAGGAGGAGAGTTGACGCGTGGAAGGATGAGTACCGGTGCAGGTCGCCACATAAAGCATCAGCTAGGGCTGCAAGCAATGCTGGCTCTGACAGCGCGTTGACAAACCTGAGGAAGGGGGGAAGCGAGACAGTAGGGAGAGACGAGAAGGGGGAGTAATGAGGAGAGAAGGGGGAGTAATGAGGAGAGAAGGGGGAGTAATGAGGAGAGAAGGGGGAGTAATGAGGAGAGAAGGGGGAGAGTAGGGAGTGAGTCGACACGTTCAACGACGAGTACTGGTGCGGGTCGTCCCCGAAAGGCAGCAGCTTGGGCTGTGACGCCGGCTCTGGCAGCGCATTGGTGAGCCTGGGGAAGGGGGATAGGAGAGGAGAGAAGGGGGAGAGAAGAGGAGAGAAGAGGAGAGAAGAGGAGAGAAGAGGAGAGAAGAGGAGAGAAGAGGAGAGAAGAGGAGAGAAGAGGAGAGAAGAGGAGAGAAGAGGAGAGAAGAGGGAGAGAAGAGGGAGAGAAGAGGAGAGAAGAGGGAGTGAAGAGGAGAGAAGAGGGAGAGAAGAGGAGAGAAGAGGAGAGAAGAGGAGAGAAGAGGGAGTGAAGAGGAGAGAAGAGGGAGAGAAGAGGAGAGAAGAGGAGAGAAGAGGGAGAGAAGAGGAGAGAAGAGGAGAGAAGAGGGAGTGAAGAGGAGAGAAGAGGGAGAGAAGAGGAGAGAAGAGGGAGAGAAGAGGAGAGAAGAGGGAGTGAAGAGGGAGAGAAGAGGGAGAGAAGAGGGAGTGAAGAGGGAGAGAAGAGGGAGTGAAGAGGGAGAGAAGAGGGAGTGAAGAGGGAGTGAAGAGGGAGAGAAGAGGGAGTGAAGAGGGAGAGAAGAGGGAGAGAAGAGGGAGAGAAGGGAGTGAGTTGGCACATGGTAGGGTGAGTACTGGTGCGAATCGCCACCCAGAGGCATAAGCTTCGGCTGCAACGCTGGCTTTGGCAGTGCGATGGTGAACCTGAGTAAGGGGGGGGAGAGGAGGGGGAGGAAGGGAGAGAAGGGGGGGAGTGGACACGTGTAGGACGAGTATTGGTGCAGGTCGCCACCTAACGGCAGCAGCTTGGGCTGCGACGCTGGCCCTGGCAGCGCGTTGGTGAACCTGGGGAAGGGGGAGAGTGGGGAGAGGAGGGGGGGGAAGGGAGAGAAGGGGAGCGGGGAAGAAAAGAAAGAGAGTCGCCCCCTGCCGATGCTATTTTTGAGGCGCCTCAAAAGTCGCCCCCTGCCGATGCTGTCTCACCAGCATCGGTATGAAGACACGCCTAAACCCGCCCTTCAACTCCCCTCCCTCGCACCTCACTCTACACAGAAACGTGGACGCCCGTTTCAGCCTGTTATCGTCCTTCGCCCCCCCAGCTGCTGCTGCTGCTGCTGCGCCACCCCCCCCCCAGCTCCCCCTGACGCGTCCCTTCCGCGCGCTGGAACAAGCGCCCCGCCTTCCCCGCCTCCCCCCCCTCCCCCGCCCGCGTGGCTGCCTTTCCCCCCGGCTTGCGCGTGAGAGGAGTGCCTATGCTTCCCCCCATCCTGCTGCTGCTGCTTCTGTTGCTGGTGGTGGTGCTGCTGCTGCTGTTGCTGTGATCCTGGTTGTGACGCTTTGTACTGTTGATGCTGTGACTGTTGCGAATGGTGACTATGCTGGTGCCTATCTCTCCGCCCGTCTGCCGCATCCCCGCCAGCTCCGCGCTTATCTCTCCGTCCGTCCCCTCCCGCATCCCGCCCCTTCTCCGCTGGCGGAGGCTGCGGGGCGGAGGGGGGTGGCGGAAGGGCGAGAACCCCCCCGCCAGGAGCGGATGGGGGAGGCGGGGGAGGCGGAAGAGCGGAGTGCGCGGGTGGGAAGGGAGGGGGTGGAGGCAAGGGGGGATCGGACGTGGGGGGAGGCGGGGGGGGAGGTGTGGGGTGGTGGGAGCCGGAGGGAGGAGGGGGAAACGGCGGAGGAGGGGGGAGCGGAAGATTTCCGCTGGAGGGCGGAGGAGGTGGAGGCGGAAGCGGAAGCGGAGGAGCAACCGGAAGAGACGAACTAGGAGCGTAAGTAGAGTTAGTAGCATAGGACGAGGTATGTGCCTTAGCGGCTCCGTACGGGTTGCCTGAATATGCCGCGGATGCTGACGTGGACGAAGGATGAGGAAGCATGCCAGGTGGAGGACCTGGGGGAGGTCCAGGTGGCATCCCCGGATTGGTCAGATGCTGGGTATGCGCTCCGGAGCTCATACCGACCGTCCGCTGGCAGTACCCCTTATAAGCTGACTCCGCTTCGGAGGGAACTACGGTAACGGGATAAAAACGTGGTCGACTAAGTGTTCTTGATAAGTGCGAACAGCCCTAACTTAGCCTCGCAGGCGCTGTACGTCAACGGTTATTGTGCTCAACGGGTGACGTACATGTGTAATGAGTCGATTATTGAGTCGACTCATTACACACGGATTATTGCGGTCAACGGGTGACGTACAACGGGTACCAACAATAGCAGGCCTCCCAACGGGTCTCCTTCTAGTGCGAAACGACACTAGGAATCCGAGTCTCGCAGCGCCTGGGTTAGCCCTAAATCAGACTCGCACCTACTTAAAAGTATAACGGGGGCAACAACCCCACGCCTCCTGGCCTTAGTACTAATCCGAGTCTCGCGGCGCCTGGGTTACTAGCCCTAATAGCACGTGAGCATACTAGATGACAACGAGGAACGATCCCCTCTGTATCTATGGGATCGCGCCGAATGTACGCCACGCAAAAATGGCTTAGTCTGCCTTGGCGAGCTGAGGCCAATCCGCTAAGGAAGTTCTTGGACTCAAGGCGTGTGCTGCGCTGCGAAAGTTTGTTGGGCGTGATCTAGGTCTAATGTTTGGACATCTCCCGTATGAACGCTAGGATCCGGCCTTGGGAAGATCGACGAATAACTCGCTACAGAGAAAAATGAACTGGAATAGTTTTGAAGGACTGCTGAACTATTTATACGCCAACAAGTGTGCTCTAAGCAATCCCACGTCGTTGAATTAGGAGCGGCAATCCGAAAGAATGAGGGTGCGGTTCAAACCGTTCACAAAACATGCTGTACAGAAAAATCAATCCCAACTAAATCATTCGCCTTCAATGAGCTTGAACCGGGACCACTGCCCTGCTATTCCACAAACCCAGCATGTTTCTCATGCTCGCTCCATTTTCCATGGAACCCTCAGCGGCAGAGGCAGTGGCAGCAGCCGCAGTCAACCTCGCCTGTTCGGCCTTTTGCCTCGCTTCGATGTTTGTTGCCTCCACGCATAAGTGATGGAAGAGCCCTCGCATCTGGCTCGATATAATGTGGCCCAAAATAAATTGATCTGAAAATTGGCAGAGAAGGTAGCAGCAGAAGCAGAGAAACACATGTAAACACAGACACATAAGGTCATGGAAGAGCCCTCGCATCCGGCTCGATATAGTGTGGCCCAAAAGAAATGAAAGTATCTGAAAATAGGCAGGGAAGGTGCACCAGCGTCAGGAAAAGGGCAGCAGCAAGGGCAAAAGTGAGTATATGGGGCAAGGATAATGCGGACACAAGAAGTCCGAGTGGCAAGGATGTGTTTTGTTCTTAATATTTCTCGAACGCATAACACTTTTCGAGAATTCTCTAAAAGGGGAGCAACGGGACAGGCACAGGTGGGTGAGGTGCGTGAGGTGGGTGAGGTGGTGGTTGGGATGGGTGAGGTGGGTGAGGTGGTGGTTGGGATGGGTGAGGTGGGTGACTTACAGAGAGGGCCGAGAGGCAAGGCGGCAGGTTCCACCCTCTGGACGATCTCAATCACCGACCCACAATCCGACGGCTCACATTGCACCAGCTTCGAAGCATCTGTTGACCGCCCAGGCCCCCATTGCGAGCTTGTCAAAGTCTTATCCGCTCCTGTTCCCCATTCTTTTCCTCCTGCTGCTGCTGCTGCTGATGCCATGCCAGGTGAATTGCCCTCGATCTGCGGTCCCCCCACTGCCACGCGCCCGAGTGCCAGCATCTGAGCCGGGAAGCTTTTGAGTCGACTCAAAGCCAATCCAGCAGCCCCTCCCGTTCCCAGCATTGCTCCCTCAATCTGCGGTTCCCCCACTGAAACGCGCCCAAACGCCAGCAGCTGAGCTGGAAAGCGGCCCAGGGGAATCGCCTGCTGCAGCTGTAGCAGGCGCTGGTGCAGCTTCAGAGGCGGCTGTAGCAGGGCAGGTTGCTGCAGTGGCTTCATCTGTAGCGAAGGGTGCAATGGCTTGGGCTGGGACTGTGGCTGTGATGCGGGTTGCGGTTGTAGCTGGGGGAGGTTGGCAAAGCGTGTGCCCGGGACGGTGAGAGGAAGAGAGGAGGCAGCGGCGGGTGGGGAGTGAGGGAGGGGAGAGAGGCTGCGGATGGTAGACGTGCCGACAAAGGCTTTCATGAAGCCCGGGTTGGCCCTGAGGTGGGAACGGGGGAGTGCAAGGAGAAAAGGGAGTGAGGGAGGGGAGCGAGGGAGGCTGCGGATGGTACACGTGGCGACGAACGCTTTCATAAAACCCGGGTGGGCCCTGAGGAGGGGCGGGGGGGCGGGGGAATAAAAGGAGTTGAGCGAGTGAAGGAGGGGAGGGAGGCTGCGGATGGTACACGTGCCAGCGAACGCTTTCGTAGAAACTGGGTAGGTTCTGAGGCGGGGAAAGGGGAGAGGATGTGGAAAGGGGAGAAGAAGGGGAGAGGATGTGGAAAGGGGAGAAGAAGGGGAGAGGATGTGGAAAGGGGAGAAGAAGGGGAGAGGATGTGGAAAGGGGAGAAGAAGGGGAGAGGATGTGGAAAGGGGAGAAGAAGGGGAGAGGATGTGGAAAGGGGAGAAGAAGGGGAGAGGATGTGGAAAGGGGAGAAGAAGGGGAGAGGATGTGGAAAGGGGAGAAGAAGGGGAGAGGATGTGGAAAGGGGAGAAGAAGGGGAGAGGATGTGGAAAGGGGAGAAGAAGGGGAGAGGATGTGGAAAGGGGAGAAGAAGGGGAGAGGATGTGGAAAGGGGAGAAGAAGGGGAGAGGATGTGGAAAGGGGAGAAGAAGGGGAGAGGATGTGGAAAGGGGAGAAGAAGGGGAGAGGATGTGGAAAGGGGAGAAGAAGGGGAGAAGGGGAGAAGGGGAGGGAGGGAGGGAGGGGTGAGAGGCAGCAGCCTGCAGGGTATGCCATGCCATGCATACACATGGTTTCATGAGCCGTACAGTACAGACGATCCAACACATGTTTTCAAGACCCCGGGGTATGCTTTGGCAGGAGGTGGAAGGGCATCGAACGAGGGGAATAGGAAAAAGGAGCGTGAAAGATTTTTGAGGTGCCTTTTTTTAGGCGCCTCAAAAAACGAGGGGGATAGGAAAAAGGAGGGTGGAAGGCACACCAAGGAGGGAAGACTTTCTTTGAAGGTCGATGGTAAACAGCAGCCCCCCGTTACAAGCACACTTACAGTCGGTAGGTGATGGTGCGGGCGGCGTCGTCGCAGTGACAGTGAAGCGCGAGGTCGAATTTCCCTGAGATCAGCTGGAAGCGCCACTTCACACTCTGCACCACCAGGAAGCTCCCGTCCGGCTGAGGCGCCGAGGTGCACTTGTCCATGTGCCGAAAGATGGCTGGGCCGCCCTTGAAGTCCCTCAGCAGGTTGTAGATCACAGCGGGGGGGTGCCGCGACTTCATGCCCGCTGCAACGCGGTAGCAGTTGGCCACGCCGTCCTGGGGGAGGAGAGGGGGAAAGAGAGGGGGGCATGGGAGAGGGGGAGAGAGGGGGGGAGAGAGAGGGGGAGAGAGAGAGGGGGAGAGAGAGGGGGGGAGAGAGAGGGGGGGAGAGAGAGGGGGGGAGAGAGAGAGGGGGAGAGAGAGGGGGGGAGAGAGAGGGGGGGAGAGAGAGAGGGGGAGAGAGAGAGGGGGAGAGAAAGAGGGGGGGAGAGAGAGAGGGGGAGAGAGAGAGGGAGAGAGAGAGAGGGGGAGAGAGAGAGGGGGGGAGAGAGAGAGGGAGAGAGAGAGGAAAGAGAGATGGGAGAGTGGGGGGGAAGAGGAGGAAAGAGTGAGGGGGGATTGTCAGGGTGGTGTGTGGAAGAGGGGGCTCCGAGGAGCCGCCCTTAAAGTCCCCCAGCAGGCTGCAGAGGGGGAGGGGGGGGGGGGCGACTTCATGCCGGCGGCAATGTTGTAGCAGCTGGCAACGCCGTCCTACAGGTTCGGGGCAGAGGGGAAGAGGGGGGAAGAGGGGGGACGAGGGGGGAAGAGGGGGGAAGAGGGGGGAAGAGAAGAGAATCGGTTGAGGTGGGGTGGCGGCAGAGAGATCGCAGCGGGGGGTTGCCGCGACCTCATGCCCGCTGCTATGCGATAGCGGTTGGCGGTCCCGGGCTGAGGGGAGGGACGGGGGAGGGAAGGGGGAGGGAAGGGGGAGGGAAGGGGGAGGGAAGGGGGAGGGAAGGGGGAGAGAAGCACTAGCGTGGAGAGCGGGTGCTATCAAAAGGCAATAGACGAGAAAGCCAAGAGCCAAGTGACCCTCACCACGGGAACCAGCTCGACGCGCATCGGCTCCAGCAGTCCCGGCGTCGCCGCGAGTTCCGCCTGCGCCGCATCTTCCGCCGCCGATGCCGCTGTCCGCGCGCCGCTCGACTGCGCCCGCATCTTCCGTCCCCTTCGGCTCGGACCACCCGCTGCCGCCCCCGCGGGGTCAGTCGTGGATGCTCTTCCTCCTCTGACTCCTCCTGCTCCGTTCCGTCCGTCTCCTTGCGAGTCGCGGCGAGTAGACGCTCGCGCGAATAAGGGCCGCGCTGACTGGCGACTGTCGCCGTGGCCGTCAGTGCCGCCGGCCGCCGTTAGCTTGGCCGGTCGCCGCCTGCTGGTGAAATCGCGAGCGCTGACGGTTTGAAACATCGTGAGCGGCTGTCGGACGGGGCGGTTGCAAGAGCGTTTCAGGGTCGGCTACCTTTGATCCGTGGAACGTCCTCCGCCGACGCCCTCCACAGATTGCCCTCCGCCGAATTGAATGGTTTCCGCGGAACTTCTTCCGCCGAATGACCTCCGCCGAATGTCCTCCGCTTTCTTCCCTCCGCGAATGTGAGAGAACGCGGCGTCGACTTTGCAGGGAGTTTTTTAGAATTCTCAAAAACACGCGGCGTCGACTCCAGAGACACAGGAACGCGGCGTCGAAGGAGGGAGGCTGTCCCTATCAGCGCAAATCGCGGCTGAGCTGCTAACCTGGGGCAACTAGTCAGAACTAGGGTAATTAGTCTGCACTAGCTGTCGCAGTTTGTGCCGGCGCGACAAGCGCAATGCGGGACAGTCCTCGGCTAGGGACGAGAGAATCGGACTGGAGGCTGTGGGAAGGGCGGGTATACACGAAGCACGACGGGGAAAGTGACAGCAGCGGGTGCTTGATGGGGTGGATAAAGTGACGGAGGGATGGCGATGGCTGCGATGTGGTGGCTATGCAGAACAGGACTGCGGGGACGAGGGAACGCAGGTCCAAAAAGTACGTTCTCGCAAAATACCCTACCCAACCGTTCTATATTTTTATTAGAACGCGTTGAAGCACAAAGAAAGTTACTGCACCGCAATCGGACGTACTATTTGGACCCCCCCTAAATGTGTGGTCTGTACTGTATGGGGCTGGGATTGACGGGGGGATGCAGATGGAACAGGCAGGGAGTAGAGGAAGGTGGCGGATGGAAATGGATGTGACGGACAGGCCAAGAAAACGACGCACCGCGCGCACCGAACTTTCGCCGTGAGCGGTTTCGCTAGCTGTCGCGAGCGGCACTAGAAGGTTTACGACAATTGAAAAGGAAAGACTTTGCGGCGGAAACTGTGCAGCGACGAGTACACAATTTCTCGTGAAGGTCGTAAGTTTCCCAGTTTCCGATAGGCGTGAGGTGAACGTCGCTGACCGTGAACTGTACTGTGTCGGACTGTGCTAGCCTGCCCTCCTTGCGAAACAGCCAACCACACCGGACCTCGCGAATTCCTGGTTAAACTCTGAGCACACTCTGCGGTGCGTGTTTGGCACGTCACTATTGGTTGTAAGACAATGTGGACCCTCACAGCCACAAATGTCATCCAGAAACGGTGGGACTGGCATCGCGTCTTGGGAATTTCAGGCTTGTTCTGTGGTCGAACGCGTTGTAGGGAGGATGACGTAGGTCGGCGACACCCCCTGTGGGGTTTTTGCCCGTCGTTGACGCGCACTAGGATTCTTCCTGGACCTTACCCCAAGTTCTCGATTTATGCCTCTTCGACAGCAAATTGTTTCTCGTAATACACTCTCGAATTTTTGTTTATTCAACAATATATGTATCAGCATATGGCATTTTTGTTTGGTGTAGCTTTGCTACACCAGGTTCAAGTTCCCGCCAAACCAATTCTCCATTCGACATCCATGTGCATCCTAGCCCGAATGACATCACAGTGGACCACCCCGACAGTCAGTCTGACCCATCTCTGAAGTGTCAACACGTCTCCTCCATGTCACCCTTGGCAAAAGCTAGTGTGGAGGAAACCCTAAACCACGTCAGCACATGACATCGCATCACCTGTAAGAAACCACAGAACAGCTGCCTGCTGGTGGTGGAAGGTTCGCCATGAAACAATTTCAGAAGCCATGCCATTTCCTCCATTACCCGTAGCGCGCTTGAGCCATGCCTGTACCCATACCATACCACCTGCGCTGTACAATTTCACCATCTCCCATCAGCTCGTGATGACACCGTGGCGCCATCCGCCATGGCATCATGGTTGCCTCATCCAGCTCGACAGCCAAGTGGCGCGCAGTGCCTCGAATTTCTCTATTCAGCGCACCGAATCCCTTTCTTCAGCGCAGCGCTCTGATTCTCCTCCAACTCGTCAGGTGTGCGCATGCGCGCGGTGCTGCTGCGAACAGGGATGACACTTTCCTCTCAGGGGCGGGATGAAATCAGACCGTTCGGCTGCGGCGCAAAGCGAGCGTCGAGCGGGAAGCAGCAGCACACGCAGAGGAATTGTCCAGCATGGTCAGTCTTGAGAAGATATAAGAGAGGAGCAAGCATGCAGGGGGGAAACCTGACGAAACCTAACGAGCGCTGGCATCCATTCAAGATCTTGAGTGAAATTTGTACACGGTGAACTACCCCGTAACACAAGGTCAAGGACCATTAGGTACACGGCATATACACGGCTTTATTCGGTAGGACTCGAGCTTCCATTAAGTCAAGGGTTCCCGTAGTCTTCCGTGGCTCCCGTTCATCTGACGTATTCAAATACTTCAATCTTTGGACTTCAAGCTGACTTCTGAGTCGAGTCAAAAGGGCTCCCTTAGTATTCAGTCGCTTCGGTACATCTGACGCGTTAAAATCTTCGGACTTCAATTTTTAGTTGGCTAGTTGTGAGGGAAGAATATATTTCTGTTCTCTGGTGGTAACCACATGGCGTCCGCGCATCACAGCTTTCGCAGCCTTTCGCTGGACTCGGGGTCGAAGCCCGTTGCCATGCAGCAGCAGGAGGCGAGTCGCGCCGTGGGTCTCTACGACGACCCCGGCGAGCTCCTTAATCCGCTCGACCAGGGCGCGTTCTTCAGCGCCGTGGCTGAGGGAAACGTGGAGGGGGTCGTTGCGCTGCTGAAGCATAGGAAGGTTGACATTAACGAGTACAACGGGCAGGTGAGCGGAGAGAGGGAGGAAGAGAGGGAGGGAGGGAGGGAAAGAGGGAGGGAGGGAGGGGGTCGTTGCGCTGCTGAAGCATAGGAAGGTTGACATTAACGAGTACAACGGACAGGTGAATGGAAGGTTGGAGGAGACAGGGAGGGAAGGTGTCGCTGCGTTATTGAAGCATGGGAATGTTGACAATAACGAGTACAACGCACGGGGAATTGAGAGTCCCTGGCAGAGCCCGTGTGTCCTGCTGCCCCTTCGATCTTCCATTTCTTTTAACCCTTATTTTCATACACCCTCCTTTTGAGTCGACTCAAAAGCAGACCCCTGTGTCCTGTTGCTCCTTCAATCTACCCTCTTTTTACCCTTAATTTTCATACACCATCCGTTTCCCCTCCAACCAGCGAGTGACGGCGCTATTTGTCTTTGTGTAAAACATTGAAGCTTCACGAAGCGTCAGCATGGCGAAGCTCCCCATCGACCACGGAACCAGGGTCCCCATCTGTTCCCTACCTTACCTCCCCCCTCCCCCCCCCTCCCCCTCCCCCTCCCCCTCCCCTGCCCCGCGCTCATTCTAACCAGGGAGTTACGGCGCTGTTTGAGGCGGTGTACAACTTCGAGGCGTCACGAAGCGTCAGCATGGCGAAGCTCCTCATCGACCACGGAGCCAGGGCCACCATTAAAGCCCTGGACTCCCCAGCCGCCAGCAAGCTGTCTTACCTGAAGCACGACTCGCCCTCGGGCAGCCCGGGCAGCCCCAGGAGCCCCAGGAGCCTTGCGAGGAGGGATGAGACGCGGAAGGTCCCTGTGGCCAACAAGACTCCGCTGCTGGTGAGTTTGGCTTGTAGGCCATAGCTCTCACTATCAGAGTCGCGGCTTGTTTCGCTTCCTTGCTGGCTTTGCAGCACTCCCTGTCGCATCCCACTTCACCCATCGTCATCCCTCGTCACCTAAGTGGGAAAATTCGCGCTCCGCGTAAATTCGCTAGCGTAAATAAATCAAATAAAATAAATAAATAAAATCGCTGGGAAATTTGTTTGACCCGGGCCGAAAACAAAATTTCCCGGGCAGGCAAAAAAAAGGGTTCCCGGGTAGGGTGGGCGTGGGGGGTGTCAGGGCAACACTTTTTAAGCAAGAACGTCTTAGCACGGAATAAATATTGCTTTTCAAAAATCATACCTGATACATCGCCTGTCACGTCCTCACTAGCGCCCTGATATGGGAGGTTCAACATTGCAGCTCGGATTCTCGTTCTGTAAGCTAGAGTCTGTATCGACTAGTTAAGACGCAGAGAGATTAGGTTAGCGCCACCTCTGGTAGAATAGCGTGAGATGTGTGATAGGGTTGCGTAAGTTGTGTGGTGGATGGGTTTGGCTTTCTACATGCGGTGGGGTTTGATGCGGTTGGGAGCTTGGGAGGGGTTGGAAGCATGTTTGGGGGGTCTAAGGTTGGAGTCGTGAATTGGCGAGGCCACGGATGGCTTCACCGTGTCGTCGCGAATCACGGTAAAAAAATCGCGTTTATTTCGGGCTGCCCCGAAAAAAATCCCCCAGCGTTCCGCGAATCTCAGGTAAATTCGCAAATGCGAATTTACACTTACGAATGTACGCAAAACGCTGGGGGACCCCTCCATTCCCCTTGCCATCCTCTCCACAGGTTGCTCTGGAGTTGAAATCCAGTCTCTACCTAAAGGGCTGCTGGGACTGCCACTACTGGGACGACATGCTGGACCTCCTTGCTGGGACACGTTCCCTGTCATCCTTCCCCACCGCTCTCGATCGCTCTCCACCACTCTCCACCGCTCTCAATAGGTTGCACTGGAGCCGAAATCCGGCTTGTACCTCAAGGGCTGGGACTAGCGCCGCTGGGATGGCATCTTGGACCTCCTTGCTGACTCTGAACGTCCTGCTACCCCTTGTCACCGTTCTCCACCCCTCTGTGCGTCCATTCCACCACTACAGGTTGCTCCAGAGCTCAGGTCCAGCCTGTACCTGAAGGGCTGGGATTACCGCCACTGGGACGACATGCTGGAGCCCGGACCTCGTTGCTGATGCCACAGTTTCCCTCTCATCCCTCTCCACTGCTCTCCACCGCTCTCAACAGGTTGCTCTAGAGATGAAATCTAGTCTCTATCTCAAGGGCTGGGATTACCGCCACTGGGACGACCTCTAAGCACTCCCTGTCATCCCTCTTCGCCTCACTCCACCCATGTGCACCCTTCTTGCTGTCTGCTCTACTGCTACAAGTTGCTCTAGAGTTGAAGTCTAGCCTGTACCTGAAGGGCTGGGATTACCGCCACTGGGACGACATGCTGGACCTCCTGGCTGTCGCTACACAATCCATCCCACCCCTCTTCACCGCTCTCCACCCCTCTCCACCCACTTTTACCACTCTTTATCAGGTTGCACTGGAGCTCAAGTCCAGCCTGTATCTGAAGGGCTGGGATTACCGCCACTGGGACAACATGCTGGACCTCCTTGCTGACGCAACAGTTGCTGAGCTGGCAGGCCGCCCGTTCCACGGCCCTGGGCCGGCGCAGCTGCCGGCCATAGCGGACGGCTGGGCGGCGGTTTTCAGCAGCGGGGAGCATGAGCTGGTGGAGGTGTGGGCGGAGGGGAGGCACTTGGATGTGCTGAGGATGCTGCTGGTGGTGAACTCCAAGGTGAGGGGAAGGAGATGGTAGTTTGCTTTGCGGGTGTGATTGAATGAATCACATGCGGTGTGGGCGGAGGGGAGGCACATGGACGTGGTGAAGATGCTGCTGGTGGTGAACTCCAAGGTGAGGGGAGGATAAGAGGTTTGGATTGCCGTGGATTGCCGGTATGCTTGTGAGTTTACCCTGTGAACGCCAAGGTGAGGGCAACGTTTGGGGGACGCACGTGGTCGTGCTGACGGAAAGGAATGACGCACGCCACATGCGTGTGGAGGGTAGTTTTGAGGTGCCTCAAAACTGGACCCCCGTGGTCGTGCTGAAGGAAAGGAATGACGCACGCCACATGCCACATGCCACATGCCACATGCCACATGCCACATGCGATGAGACAGCCAACCTGGCGCCAGGGGGTATGAGCTGGTGGAGGTGTGGGCGGAGGGGAGGCACTTGGACGTGCTGAGGATGCTGCTGCTGCTGCTGCTGCTAGTGAACTCCAAGGCGAGGTACTTTCAGGGCTACTACGGTGCTCTGCGTTGATCAAAGCACAAATGGGCTTCAGGAATATTGGTACGTGATTTTGCAGGGTGTTTTTGAGAATTCTCAAAAACACCCTGCAAAATATTCGGACGTGAGCCGAAGCATCGTAGTTAGTAACCCTGAGAGCAGCACATGGCGCCTGCACGGTGGGGGGCATGAGCTGGGGGCGGTGTGTGTGGACAAGGTTCAAGGTGAGCAGTTTTGAGTTGACTCAAATGTCACCTTGTGAGCGGAGGGGAAGCACGACGTTCTGCTGATGTTGTTGGAGGCGAAGCTCAAGGTGAGCAGTTTACTGACAGAGCTGCGAGGATACCAGACCGAGAACAGGGGTGGTGGTTGGGTTAGGGAGGGGGGCACGAGCTGCTGGTGAACTCCAAGGTGCGCAATTTACCGACTGAGGTGCGAGGATACAAGGGGTGTGTGTTGGCGTGCACGTGGCCACCCACTGGGAGTGCAGCTAGTGCCTCGGGTGGTGGTTTTCGTTAAGGTAAGCGAGTGAACTTATTCTGAGGCGCCTAGAACTGGTTGGTCACAGAGGCGTTGTTTCAACGTGGTCAAGGTCAAGGCGTCATCGACTCCAACCTTACATTCGCCGACCTCGCACTCACCCAACTCCTGCCTCTCCCTGCAGCGCTTGAAGTTTGGCGTGTTCTTTCAGGTAAGCGAGTGAGCTGGTTGGTCACAGAGGTGCTGTTTCTACGCGGTCAAGGTCGAGGCGTCATCAATCTCCCCCTTGCAATTCTCGACCTCTCACCCGTCTCCTGCATCTCCCTCTTTCCACCAGCGCTTTAAGTTTGAGCTGGAAAGGGCTGCCGCAGTCACCCCAGGGCGGCTGGAATCACCGATGCGTCGCTCAACATGGCCAGGATCTCATTGACCTCTCCTGGCCACTCTTTCTTTCCCCTGCCTTTCTCCCTCTCTCTCGCCTTTCCCCCTCTCCCCCGTACCACCAGCGCTTCAAATTCGAGCTGGATAAGGCAGCTGCAGTCACCCCAGGGCGGCTGGAGATCTCAGACGCATCGTTCAACGTGGTCAAGGCGGTCATGGAGTTTCTGTACTCAGGCCACGTCAGCAGCGAGTTCATGGCGCACCGCGGGGTCGACTTGCTGTTGGCTGCGCACAAGGTAAGGATTAGAGGCTTTTCAGATTTGCTGCTGAGGGAGGGAAAAAAAAAAAAAAAAAAAAAAAAAAAAAACCAACACAAAACAAAAACAGAAACAAGAGCACTGCTGAAGGTTTTCTTCATTGCCTTATAAAAACAATCTGTTTGCATATAGGAGATTCGTGGGTGTTTTGGGATCCCTCAAAAGGTCCACTTTTTTCCATGTTCCTCTCCCCCCTCCCCCCCCAATGTTTCCCCAATCCCCCGTGTTTGCTCGTCCCCCTCTCACAACAGTACGAGGTGTTTGCTCTACAGAAGCTCTGTGAGGAGCAGCTCGAGCCTGCACCAGGTAAGACCTGCCCCAGATACACCGTGCCCCCCTGGCAATCCTCTAGCCTGGTGCTTAGCTCTAGATAGGATTTGCCTCTGGTAATCCCTCCCCCGAATAGGATTTTGCTCGGGTCAGCCCTCCCTGGATCCTGCCTGTGTTGTGAAGTTGCTGCCTCAGATACGCCCTGCTCTGGATAACACCACCCCCTGCTAGGGCGTTCTGCAGTAAAGCTGGGCCTCGTATGCTCCCTGCTTCATGTGTTATACTCCCTTGATACAGCTCGTGCTAAATGCTGCCCGTACAGGCTGGATGGTTCACAGGTTAATGCTTGTGGTTCATGTGGCTCCGATGCCTTGGTGCTAAAAATGCCGGCATTCATCCATGGGGTTATGGACATGATTTTTAAGTCGACTAAAAAATCACCTGACATTCATCCATGGGTTCATGGACATGCGCCGCGCCATGCGTGAGGAGTTTATTTTTTAGGCGCCTCAAAAATAGACTCCTCACGCATGGTGCTAAGAATGGCTGCCTTCATTGATGGGGTCATTTTTGAGGTGCCTCAAAAATCGTCTGAAAAAATAGGCGCCTAAAAAATGGTGCTATGAATGGCTGCCTTGATTGATGGGGTCACGGTTCATGGCCATGCGCCGCGCCATCCGTCTCATTCTGCCCCCTTTATGGCTGTTTCTTCCTTTCTATGCAGAGAGCTGGATCAAGATTCTGGCAGCAGCACTGCAGTGTGGCTCAGACGCCCTGGTACTGAAGGTGGCAGCATCCATCCATGGGGTCATGCACTCACGCCACGCCACCCCCCTCACTTTTTGTCCCCTGAGACATCCCCCTCATTATCCCCCTTCATTCCTGTTCCGTTGTAATGCAGAGAGTTGGATCAAGATGCTGGCGGCAGCTCTGCAGTGTGGCTCAGACGCTCTGGTACTGAAGGTGGCAGCATCCATCCATGGGGTCATGCACTCACGCCACGCCACCCGCCTCTTTGTCAAGCAGCCGTTTTCCGTCTCCATCCATCCTGAGGGCGGGCCGGCACAGCTTCCTCTCATTGATGATGCTGACGTGGAGGAGAGGGTCGAGGTCAAAACATTGTGAGGTCCATGTGGGGTAGAACTGCGTGTCACCGCCACCCGCCTTTTTCAAGCAGCCGTTTTCCGTCTCCATCCATCCCGAGGGCGGGCCGGCACAGCTTCCCTTGATCGACGATGCTGACGTGGAGGATAAGGTTGAGGTGAAGACCTTGTGAGGACCTGGTGCTGAGGTGAGGTCCTTGTGAGCCACCGACCTCTTTCTACGAACAATGGTTTCCATGCGGAAGATAGGAAGGGCTCAGTACATTTGTGTAGAATCATTCATTTCAAAATGAAGTTGTAAATAGCTTGTTAGGGCATGCCACCCGCTACCAGCTTATAGCTTTGCCCAATAGTTTGTATTGCATTGGCTTCTTCCCTATTGTGTTTTTTACATTAACAACAATGCTTAGCTCACATCAAGAGTTTACGAAACGATAACTTCGTACAGTTTTCAGCCCAGATTCCAGAACCTGCCAGAAGTCATGGCACCATTCGATGCCACGTCAATGCGCCAATCAAGTGCATCTGCGACTCGGCGAAACAGGTTCATCCGCCCTGGTTGGCTTGGTTGGTCCTCGTCGTTTGCACCGCTGGGCGCAGATCCCACCGTCCCCCGAAGGGAATCATGCCACCACATCGCCACACCGTCCAGCGCCGAACAGAACCTTGTCTCTTCGTTCTTTCTGGCGACATCACGTTACTTCTGGAACGCGTTTCGCTCAGCCAAGCTGGCCTACGAGCGACTCGCTTTCGGCCACAGCCAATCACAAGCTGGAAAAGCTCGTGCATTTCAGTGTGCTGGCTTCGCAGGCGAAGTTCATTTCATTCCCCAGCCAGTGGATAAAAGAAAAGCCCTTGCTTATCTAGCAGCTTCACTCATAACAGAACGAGTTGTGAAACCCTTGTGCTCAGTTACTAGGCTTTTACTCCGTGTGCTTTTTGCGAACTATCCTGACGCGCGTATTCGTGCTCTCACCAGCGCTACCTTCATCCTCCAGCGGTGTTAGACGTTCTCGTAGGCGTTATGGCGATCATGGCTGTTGTTATTATCGTGGGATTTTATGCAGCTCTCACCACGACCGTCGCTGTGGCCGGTTAGCCGACAGAAATCCTAAGGCGGCAGCATGGCGAGCGCACTCCTGTCTGCCAATAATCGCCTGCTGCCATGATTTATGGAGGAGTCTTCCGTTCCTGCTTTATTCTTGAAGTCAATGAAGTAGTTCTTGATCTATGGCTGCGGAGGAGCCTTCTATCGTCACTCGGGGACTTCATGTCTTCACACAATTTTCCTCTCCGTTCCAGCGTCGACGGAGACAGTACCTTGATCTTGATTGCTTTCAAGATCGTGTGCTACCTCGCTGCCATGCCTAGCACGCCTAGCATGCCTTTTTTCTCTCCTTCCTACGCTCTGTTGTTATCTTCTGTATTTTGTAATTTATGAGGGAGTGATTGCTACCTTTCCTCTCTTGCCCAACAATCATTTCGTCCTGCCTCCCCTTGGTCACTAGCCACCCAACCCATGCATGGGGTAGAGTGACTCACAACGTGTTTACTACGTCAGCTGATTCCTCTAACCGAAAGAAGTTGCACCATCATTGTGGTGACTATCAAAGTCTGTACTCTTGAAAGAGAAGGCACATGCCTGGAAAGGATTCAGGATTCTCGGAGTGTCTAGTCTACCGGAATCGTTACCAGATGTAGGAAGAAACTATCAGAATACGTGAATAAATTATCAGAATAATTGAATAATGGTAAAGTGAGAGTACACACAAATATATCTAAGTTTTGTATCCTCTAAGAGGTGACTCTATACAGTCTATACAAACATGACAAATACACATGTTTGACACACCCCCTAGACTGCATAGGGGAATACCTTAAACAAGCAGCTCAGGGCGGCACTACTAGTCCAACCTCTGAGGCAAGGGTCTGAGCGACCGGTCAGAAGGAGTACAGACAAGGCAAGCACAAGAGCAGGGCGGCACTACTAGTCCAGCCACTGGGAGAGGACACAAGTCCAGTCTGAGTATACATATAAAGGACAGTACAAAGTCAAGGTCCTAGCAAGTGAGAGGCTACAGGAACTAGACCAAGCTGTACACAGTGCCGCTGATGATCTTTAGGCGCAAGCGCCTTCGTAAAGATATCAGCCGTGTTGGCACCTGAGGCCAAGTGTACTACGCGAGCCTGACGTCGCTGCTGTAGCTCACGCAGGAGGAAGTACCGCAGCTGAATGTGCTTCGCTCTGCCCTCGAGTCGAGGCTCCTGACACAGGAGGATCATGGCCCTGTTGTCAGCGAACAGGACCGGGGCAGAGCTAGGCCGCTCACCTAAGTCAGTGAGCAAGAAGGTCAGCCAGCGGAGCTCCTGTGCCGCCATGGCACCGGCGTAGATCTCAGCCTCACAGCTGGACTGTGCAACAGACGAGGAGCGAGTAGCTCTCCACGAGACTGCACCTGAGCCAAGGCTGAAGCAGTAGCCCTGGGTAGACCGGAGTGTCTCAGCGTCGTCTGCCCACGAAGCGTCTGTGTGCCCAGTAAGGACCGCTGGCCTGCGTCCTCCTAGCACTAACCCCATGCCCGATGTACTAGCAAGATAACGCAGAACCCTCTTAGCGGCAGACCAGTGCTGCGGTCGGTGTCTGCCTGTGGCCACAAAGCGAGCCAGGATGCTGAGAGGGTATGCGAGATCTGGGCGAGTGCAAGTCATCAGGTACATGAGGCAACCCACCAGCTCTGCGTAGGGGCCGCTGGGCTCTACCAACTCCTCAGGCACTGGAGCGGAGAGCCTGTGGTCTACAGGCAGAGGGGTGGGCTGTGCAGAGGAGAACTGAAGGCTGAACCTCTGAAGGACCTGGCGCACCAAGTGTGACTGAGTCAGGGTGATGGTGCGCGCAGCTCTGTCCCTGGAGATCTGCAAGCCAAGGTAACGGCGCAGTTCTCCAAGATCAGTGCAGGTGTGTCTCTTCAGCAGCTCTGCCTTCACGGAGGCCAGCGCGTCCCTGTCTGCTGTGGCAAAGACCAGGTCGTCGACGTAAACGAGGATGTAGAACGGAGTCTGGCCAGCACGAACGAAGAGTGAAGGGTCTGCAGAAGACGGAAAGAACTGCAGGTCAGCAAGCGTAGCACGGAGAGTGTCGTGCCACTCACGGGGAGCCTGGCGCAGGCCGTAGACGGGGCGCCGCAGGAGCCACTGGGTCCCAGGAGGGAAGGTGCCAGTAAAGCCCGGAGGGCGGCGCAGGTAGACCTGCTCGTGTAGGCTGCCCTGAAGGAAGGCAGTGGAGAAGTCGAGGGAGTGAAGCTCGTAGTCACGCTGAGCAGCTAGGTGTAACAGAACCCGAAGAGTAGTCATCTTCGGGGTCGGAGCGAAAGTCTGGAAGAAGTCCACCCCCTCGCGCTGACTGAAGCCTCTAGCCACATAGCGCGCCTTGAAGACAGGCGGCTCTCCAGGAGGGCGCTTCACCTTGAAGAACCAGCGGCCATCGACTACGTTCACCCCAGGTGGGGGAACTGCGTCGACGAAGGTGCCGGTGGATCTCCAAGATGCCATCTCCTGCTCCATGGCAGCTATCCACTGCGAGGCCCAGGGTCCCGAAGTCACCTCAGCGTAAGTGCGAGGGGTCGGGATGTCGAAAGCGTCTGGGTCACCCTCAGGGACTAGCAGCATGGAACAGAGATGGGGAGCAGCCTCGGAGAGGAAAGCAAGCTCGAACTGGCGGTCCTCCAGGACGTCACTGCCAACAGCAGGAGCACCCCCGACAGACGGAGGACAGGCAGGGTCAGAGACCAGAGCGGTGGCGTAGTCAAGGCGGCGGGTAGAGGCGAAGTCAGCGACAGCAGCGACAAGAGCGTCAAGGCACGAGACTGGAACAGACGGGTCGGTAACGAGAGAGGCAAGGACCCGAGGAACGAGAGGACGAGCGGCACGAAGGTAGTCGGACAGCGGGGGGGGCGCAACAACAAGGGAGGACGGAGGAGGCGACGGCAGAAGGGGAGGATGAGACGCGTGGGAACGAAGCAACATAGGGTGGGAGCGCAGGACAGGCGAGGCAGGACGAGCACGGGAGGGACGGTGAGACCAGACGTGCGATGGAGGAGTCGGGTCAGGAGACAGGGGAGGGGACATTGGAGGGGAACGAGGGGGGAGACGGGCCGGGGACGAGTCCGGCGGAGGGAAAACAGGGCCGTAGACAGGAAGAGGAGGAGACGGTCGGGGAGGAACCGACGCAGGGTCGGGGGACGGAAGGCCGAGCAGGCGAAGGGCGGACACCGGCGGGGACTGCTGCTGCGGCGGCACAACGGCGACACCTGGACCGCAAGCTGCTCCTCGGCTACCACCGGCACTCTCCACACGCGCACCCCCAGAGGGACCACCCTCAGGGCGACCGGGACGAGCACCCCCAGAGTCAGCGAACGGGGGCTGCGACTGCGGCGGCGGCGGCGGCGACGGCGACGGCTGCAGTGGCGGCAGGGACGGCGGAGGAGGGGACTGGGGAGGGGACACCTGGGGAGGGGCGGCCGGCGAGGACTGCACCGGAGGGCCACCAGAGTCAGAAGACTCCTCAACCGGGTCCACGGACGGAAGGGGGGTGACGTGGGACACACCAGAGGGGGCGGGACGGGGAGGAGGAGGAGGAGGGGCAGGGACTACCGGGGAAGGGGTGACCAGGAACAGGGGGGGGGTAACCGGGGGACCACGGTGGGGGAAGCGGCGGTAGTAGGAGACGGACTCGTCAAAGGTGACGTCACGAGAGTGAAAGAAGCGGTGAGACGGCGGGTGGTAGAAGTGCCAGTCGGACGCGTCAAGGGGAAAACCGAGGAAGACGCAGGGAAGGGTGCGGGCAGTGAGCTTGTCCGTGCCGGAGGCACGGACGTGAGCAAGGCAGCCCCAGACGTGGAACGCAGACGCGTCACCAGGAGACCCAGTCCACAGACGGGTCGGCGAAACCTGCGGCTGCTGAGGGTGCGGCCACAGGTTAAGCTGGTGAGAAGCGTAGCGCACAGCGAACGGCCACAGAAAATGGGGTGCACCGGCATGGACCATGGAGGTGCGAGCGACCTCCATGACCAAGCCGATGCGTCGCTCAGCGACCCCATTCTGCTGTGGGGAGTCCGGTAGGGTGAACGTCTGGGTGATGCCCTCCGCACGACAAAAGCGACCAAGGACACCTGAGGCAAACTCGCCACCACGGTCTGAGTGAAGACGCAAGACAGGGAGACCGCGGTGGACACGCGCAGAGACAAGCCAAGGGATGAGGGCGCCAGGCACGTCGGCCTTGCGCTCCAGGGGAAAGACTGTGGTGTAACGAGTGAAGTCGTCGACAAGCACAAGGAAGTAGCGCTCGCGACGCGGCCCAGGGACGGGGGCGGGGCCCCAGACGTCCAGGTGCAGGGTCTGCAGCGGCGCGGCGGTAGGGGGGAACGAGGAGGAGTGAGGGGCACGGCGAAGCCGACCCTCGACACAAGGCGTGCAAGGTGGAGCTGGGGAGGAGGGAAACGCGGGGAGTGAACCTGGGAGACCAAGGACAAGACCGTGCTGGGACATGTGACGCAGACGCGGGAGCGCAGGGTGACCTAGGCGGTGGTGCCACAGGAGGGTCGGGTGAGTGAGGGAGCGACAGGAGCAGGCAGCAGCAACCTGGGTAGACACAGCCACCTGAGGGGGCGCTCCAGCCGGGGGGGGCACGGTGTCCAGAGTGAAAAGGCCGGACACCGGGTCCCGGGGGAACGTGGACAGGGGGGCACCAGTGGCGGCCTCGGTACAGACAGCATACCGCTCGTGACCAGGGAACGTAGTGGTGACGCCAAGGTCCTGGAGGCAGCCGACACCAACTAGGTTCCTGGAGAACGAAGGGATATGCAGACCTGTAAGAGAGCCCAAAGGAACCGCCGGACAGGGAAGGGTGGTGGAACTGCGGGCGACTACCGGACCGCCGGAGGGGTCAGCAAGAGAAACGGCAGCAGGAACAGGAAGCGGCGTCAGGGTGGTGGAGTCGCGGAAGAAACACCGAGAGGCGCCAGAGTCCAAGGTGAAGGAAAGCGAAGCCGAGGGGTCTGGCGACGGAACGACGGCAGAAGCACCAAGACTACACAAAGCAGGGGATCCTACGCCTGACGCAGCAGGGGAGGCGAAGCTAGGCACACCTACCCTAGGCAACAGTGAGTAATAAGTCGGAAGCACACTAGAGTCATCAGCATACATCACATGCAGAGCAGAAACAATGGCATCCATGTCCATATCAAAGATCTGAATCTGACGACTAAGCAAACTGTGCCAGTCCGGGAGGTCTGGCGACGGGCCGAAACGCTGACGAAAGAGGTCGTCCAGGCGACGAAAGCAGCGGGGAGTGGAGTGACCGATCTTACCGCAAACGAAGCCGCGGCGAGGACCGGTCTGGATCTGGTACTGACAACGCCCGCCGGCAGAGCCACCACGTGGCACACCACCACGCGCCCGTCCACCGCCAACGCCGGGCCACCCTGGCGGGAGAACACTCGTCTGCCGCGTCTGCGACGGCTGCTGCGGCTGCTGCGAAGGCTGCGACTGCGGCGGCTGCTGCGGCTGCTGCAACTGCAGGGGCGGCGACTC